ATTCAACCAAATTCAAAAATTTCTTCGCCCAAATGCTTCAAATAAAGTCTAGATTTGTTTTAGCGAAAAAAAAATTTGGGGGGTTAGGTGCACTTTAATTTTTGCATCATGTTATGTTTGCGACACTTATTTTTTGGGTCACTTAAATTCACAAAATTATCATGTCGCGAAAATTTCATGTAATAAGGTAATTGTTAAATATACCATGATGGCTAAGCTAATGAAAAGTCTTGAATTGTGTTATACAGTGATCAAGTTCTTAATTGTAAATACTAAGCATTGTAAAAACTTTGTAGTCAATCACAAATATAACCTTTTTTTGTGCACAAGTTGTTGCTGCTATGTTATAAATGAATTGGTCCATGCTTGTAGTTGTGCATATATTGAGTTATGGATAGAAGTTTATTAATTGAATTGCTAATGTGGATTTTGAGATTTACAAAAGTATGAAGTTGTAAGAGTCATTCCTTATAACCTGCATGTGCAAATCGAACTCTTGTATCTGATTTCATGAATCCTGGATATGCCTAATAATGGGTGATTCCAGAAAATATCTATACCCTGCCACGGGCAGCTTGAGCATTTTAACCCCCCTTGCCTTCAGAAGTTCCAAAATGCTCATACCCCCCATGCCCTCCGAATTCCAAAATCGTTAACCCCTGCTCCCCTCTGGAATTTCCAGTTTTTTTTCCAGACCCTTTGGAATTCCTGTTTGACTGCTGAAAACCTCTAAGGAACAGGAAATTTGCGCTTTTTCCCTTCTCCAAGAAAATTCTGCTCACAATTTTTGGTCAAGCAAAAGGCAACTCAAGTTTGTCAACATTTTGATACAGTACACCACAGCTGTCCCTTCTGAGTGTTATCTTGAAGTTGCTTACCACCAAATAAAACTTTTTGTTTTCCGTTAGCTTCATATTTTCAGGAGAGCATATCATATTGATACCAGTGGAAGACAAAAGTACAGTTCATGATGTGCTGGCTGTCACCCGCCAAATTGAAAATTTCATTTATTGAGTAACTACTGACCACCAGTAATGCAGCCTACAAATCTGTCAGGCGTTCCGTTTAGTAATGTGAAACTGGTGCGAATTTTTCGAACCCAACAAGATCGTTGATCGACAATTTTAGATCAGAAAGAAACACAGACTTCTTTTATATTTTATTAATCTATCGACTTATTCATCAACTTTAAAGGTCAAATGAACCAAAATTTAGACATCTTTTCTTCAGCCATTTTATATCAACAAAATGTTAAAAAAGGAAACTTATGTGGAAATTTTTCTTTCTGAGCTGTGAAAAGGAGTAAAAAAGTTAAAAGTATGAAGAAAGTCAATGGCTTCACGAAAATGTTTCCAAAATGACTGTGCACTTTATTGGAGGAATGGAACTGAGACTTTGCTTTGTGATGACACTGTTGTCTTGAACATTGTTGCGTTTCAGCGTCAGTGAGTCTTTCATGGGGAAGGTTTTGGATCTAAATACAAACCTTATTTTACTTGGGAAATGGCTGAGGAGTTCACCCACTGTTTGGCGGGCATTCTTCGCTTATTTTTCGTTTTATTTTGTCCAATTGCTGGCTTGCAACATTCTATAGTGAAGTTAAAATTGTTGGTATCGCATCTTTCTTGACTACAAGTTGATGAAGCTTGAAAGAGGGTCCCAACAAATTCCTTACTACAAGATTCTGTTTGAAGCTGTCTTACACAAATGCGCAAATGCTTCGAGGGCATGAAGCATTCTCTCTTCATTTTTATAAGCCATTCTCTTTTAAGTTTTGGTGGTGAAGTTCATTGTGAACTTGAAACCAAAACAGTTTCAAATTTCCCGTATTTCTTGAGCTCACCAACAGTGACGTCACAAGTTTTATTTCCAACAATTATCCAACAATTTTCCCGACCACTCTATGATTATGAAGGATAAAAAACAGTGATTTTAACATTCCAATGTCTCCCCAATGCTTCATCCAATTCGTTTGAAACTTCAGAATATGTTTATTTTATACTTAAATGAGCACATTGAACTCAAATGAAAAAAAAATGCCTAAATTTTGGTTCATTTGACCTTTAAGGCCTCTTCGATGTGGAGCTCGCTGCACAACCCATCCACTCACTCATCCACGTGAATGCTAACACCTGCCTGATTGATCTTTATTCTGCTTCCATGGTCGGTTTGTGCTTGACTTAAAAAAACTAGAAAAGTTAACAGATCAGCGATTTCAAGCTAAGATTTCGCTGTCTTCCCCCTCTGGAAATTCAGAGCTGAAACCCTCCCCCCATGCATTTCGAATTCCAAACTGCGTAACCCCCATAACCTGCATAACCCCCTCCGTAATGTTCAGAATTCCAGTCCAAGAAACCGCCCTTCTCCCTCGGAATTCGGAGATGCCACCCATGGTAGGGTATGGATATTTTCTGGAATCGCCCAATTTATACTAATGCACCGAGTTACATTTTGGTACATTCACCTAAGTCTCTGTGTCAGAAAAAAGAACTTTGCAACATAGCTCTTCTTTTCCTTGCTTAAGAGTCTTGCGATATTTTTTCCACTAACAGCATAGTGTGGGTGAAATATTTTAGCCTTTAAAAGTTTGGTCACTAGCATTGTCATCTATCTGTAAAGCTTTGCAGGATGAGCGTTAGGCCTTGATCCCTATCCTGATAAAACTGGCCATGAATGAGGTTTGGGGTTTTTGTACTAAAGTGTTGTTTTATTGTTTTTCTGTTCATAACGATGAAGTATTCCACTGGAAGATTTTCCAAGCTACACTGGACTAGAGAGGTTGTTATCATTACTCAGAGAGACAGAGTAATGCTGTTAAGCTATTATGAACACTTCAGGGTTTCGACATACTTTTCTAATAGTCCTAGTTGACTTTTTATTTTAGATACTTTTTGTAATCAGTTTACTCTGGATAATGTTTTATTATTACCTGACCCCATTTGATTATTTAGAATAACACGTGTAACACTGATGCTGATTACATGCTTAATGCTAGAGTAGGTAAAACTCTCCTTCAGAGCATTGGAAAGATTCCACAAGACCACAGGGAGCACACAATCTTGTTGAGAAGAAAGAGAGTAAATAAAGGAATGAAGAGAACCATTTCGCTCTGCAAAAATTTTTTCGTTTACATATAACATTGACAAGGGAGGCAAGTCTTTGACCAAACATTTTGAATGCAATCCAAATATTTGCTTGAATCTCTCAATTTCTTTGCTTCCATGAAACCAAACAAACACAAAACGAAGTTGAAAGATTTTTCTACAACTTGGCTGAATTTGTTTTCTAATACTTTAACAACAGTCAGAGAATTTAAGTGTCTTTAGCAAAATTTTTTCTCAAATTGCTTTTCACAACATGATCGTACCGTTGAACCGGTACCAATCACGTCATCCAGCTCGAGCTCCCCTCCCTCTCCCACAGATGCTTTTTTGACAAGACAAATCTTTACAAACCCCTCCCCTGGTTCACAGTTTTTCTTGGGTGTCTGGAGTCACCCGATCTCTAAACAGAAATGAAATGACATGAGTTAATACCTGAAGCGTTTTTAGCGAGATTCTGCGTTTAAAATTGGGAGCTGAGAAAGGACTTTAAAAATTTGTCATGTCAAAAAAGCACTTGTGGGAGAGGGAAGGGAGCTTGAGTGCATTTTGGATGAAGTGACTGGTACCGTTCCAACAGTTTGATCATGTTGCAAAACGTTTTTTGAGAAAAAACTTTGCTTAAGACGCTAAAATTCTCTGACTGTTGAGAAAGTATGCGAAAACAAATTTGGCCGAGTCGTAGAAAAATCTTTCAACTTCGTTTTGTGTTTGTTTGGTTTCATGGAAGCAAAGAAATTTAGAGATTCAAGCAAATATTTGGATTGCATTCAAAATGTTTGGTCAAAGAGTTGCCTCCCTTGTCAATGTTATATAAACCAAAAAACATTTGCGGTGCACAAAAAGGCCTAAGTAAGAGTTTAGCACTACTATGTTACGCAGGACTTGTAGGTAGCAGTGTTCCCTATAAGGTTGCGTAAGAAATAACAAGAGGAGACAAAGGCTAACTATTCGTTCTCTTCACTCCTTTATTTACTCTCTTCCTATTCAACAAGATTGTGTGCTTCTTGTGTTTTAAAATGTTATAGCAGATCTTGGGCTTTTGGTATTATTCAGAGATTATATCAAGATGTTATGTTGTTACTATTTGGCCCCTGAATTGACATAATTTTTTCCGGGTACCTCAAAAATTAGAAGTATATTTCGTAAAAGAAAGAAGCTTTTTTCCAAGTTATTGTTTAGCAACAAAAACTTTTGTGTTTGGAAATAGTTGTGCATCATTGCCTGTCAGTTTTTGCAAACCCCTTATATCCTCAGTGATTGCTGATGAACCTGTGTTTATAGAGCACCTAACCCCCCAAGTATTTATTTGATAAAACAAAACTTCTTGTTATTCAAAGCATTTCTGCAAAAAAATTAGCATTTGGTTGAATCCTCCATACTATGCCCTTTTGAAGTGCACTTGAATTATTCCGTGTCTGGCTTTAGGGAGTCTGGGGCGGGAGATGCTGATCCCCTAGTCAGCTCTCTGTATTTGCTTGAGAAAATGGAAACCAAACTAATCCTTGTAATATATTCTGAGACTAAAATGTCTAAATTTTGATTTGCCCCCAAATTCCCAACTTTGCTTGTTCTAAAATATTGTTCAACAGTCTAATAACCATTGGATATTTTAGAGTCTTGAAGTGGAAGGTACAGTTTTTTTTTTTTTTAATTTTCAATTGACTGCACTTTTTTTAAGACAAATATAGAATATGTCAGGCTTAAATATGCTTGCCTTGAACGTTTTTGGCCAAAATTTGCATCAAGGATGCAAGTGCCTAGTTTCGTGTAGGGGAAAACCTGTGTAAATGTTAAATAAGAGAGGAGTTGGGCATTTGTTTTTGTTGGGTATAGGGATATTTCATACATTGTCATAGCATTACAAGGTAAATATTTCCTTGGCAACAACAGAGCAGATAACAGTTGTTTATAAGATTAATTTTAGAGATCTATGTTTTAGGCCTATATTCATATGATCACCTGGTAATCACTAAGACGGTTTTACGAAGTTAGGAAATCAAACCCAGATAATTTAGTGACAGGTATCATCAGCTATTTCATTTCAATATACAGGTGTCAAATGGTAGCACATGTGTTACAGCAGTATATAGCACAGCTGTTTCACATACTAGTCACAACTCTCACATGTGTTCTTGGTTACGGTTTCAACTGAGAACAATGCAGTGCTTGCTCCAGTTTTATTTGCATCCAAGAGGATGACAACAAAAGATATCTGAAGAGATTAGTTGCACATGTGGCAATTTAGTAATTACTAACAATTGCTGGTAATCATACACTGTCAGATTCCAGCATCAACAATATCTCATGGTACCTAAAAAACAAATGCCTTATATATAGTAACATTTATCATATTTGATGAACTGAGAAATTTAGATGTTAAAGTTGTTATGATAATATTATATGATGAGTAGAGATTTTTGAAAATAATACCAAGGCTGGAAGTGAATAATAGTAGTGTTATTGTTCCAGGCAGCTGGAGTTAATCTTGGCTCAATTTCCACCGCTTTGTTGATTCCGGTCTAGATTACTTCAAGGGAGGAGCGCGGGCTCCTTTGCTGAACAGCAGGTGGTAATCAAGCTTAGAGTTGATCCATTCCATTTAATCTTCATTGTAAAAATTTCACTCTGCATTTCATTCTACCTTAAAAGACAAGATTTTGTTACAACCATTTATCTTTTATTATTTCAAGTATATTACGGTTGAACCTTATTAATCTAACCACCAGTGGAGCACCAAAATTTGGTTGTATTATGGCTGACTGAAGTTCTCTTTGAATCAAGAGAAAATGGCTGAAATGATGGGGCTGTTATAAGAGGGGTTCTGCTGTATAAATATGATTTGTCTTTTAAATGAAATTGTTTCATCTCCAGCCTCTGACAGTGTTCTATAAATTATTATTATCAAAGTTATTAAGTTCATCAAAAAATTAATATGTTTCTTATAAAGTTGTTACTTGAAAGTTCATGTGATTAATAAAATGTGGAAACGTTTAGTCCAGTATTGTCTGTAGACTTGTTGAAGGGTGTGAATTACCTTTCTTGGGTGAGAAACTTGGCTGGAGTGGAGCTGCTTTGGTCTAAAACCCTGACCCTGTATAGGACAAAAGCCATTCATTCCGTTACCCTGTATACCTGGTTATCCTGGGCTGGGTTGTTCAAAGCACGATTAAGCTAACCCAGGATTAGCAAGAATTTTGATTTCTGTTTTGTAACTTTTCGGTGAGGTTTTCTGGTTTTAATGTTCGTCCTTCAGTTTTGAGCTTGACTAAGCTCAAACTACACAAAACATGAGCAATAAAGGCATTTTTAGGCAAGAAAAATTAATAGTTTGGTTAACTTTTAATCCAGGGTTAGCATAATCTGGCTTTTGAACAACCTGACCCAGACTTCTTGTTACAATGCCTCACAGTAATATCACTAACATGCAAACTTAAAAAATGTGAATATAATACTTTCTGTATCAAAGCAATGTACAAAAAATGAGTGCTCCTCTAATAACCTGCTACTTTTTATTAAATATTAAGCTCCTAACACAGGGTTGGTATAGGTAACGAAAAGTCAGAGAATTTATTTTGAGTCTTGGAAAATTGACATTTTGAAGAAATTTTGGGAAATTGAAATTATAACACCGCTGATTCGATAATATTGAAGACTGGAAGAAACATTTCAGGTCACTTGTGGTCTCGATGAACACTGCTAAAAACTGACCAGTCACAAAATAATTAATATTTATGAGGGAAATGGCCGGGGGCGAGCCAAAATAGAGTGAAGGGTCTCGGTACGCTATGCGGACCTAGTTTGAAGTTCCCACAAAAGCTGGCACGAGGCCCGCCGAAGGAAAAAATATGGCGGCTTCTTCTAAGAAGAAGGAAAAGAAATCCGAGTTTTCTCCAGACACTCTATCGAAATCCAAGCATGGTATAGCCTGTGTAGCTAATATAGACGTAAGAGGAAATGTGTCTATCTATGCGATCTTCAAAAGAGCCCTGAAGAATTCCAAACCTGTGTTTGACTTCGCTACAATTTTGGGTTATGTTGGAGGCGAGTTTCGAGATGGCTTTTGCCAAGAGAACTTGAAAGAGGGCGAATCTGTTCGTTTCTTAGAATCGTACATCTCTACGTTAGAAAGCAAAAGAATAGGGATGGTGTTTGTGCCAGTGGAACAAGTTGCGGCGCTTTTTCTGCTTCCACTACACAAGAAGTCCATCAAAAAAGGTTTCGGTTTCCCAGACACTGACACGGCGAATGCCTTTGAGTATTTTAAGCAAGTTGCACATTATTGCCGCCATGCCGCCCCTGAGGATTTCTTCCGTGCTCGGCTAAGGAGTCTCTCTGGTCGCGACATAACAAAAGCCCGAGATAGAATCACAGGGGATCTGAAACTGTGGTCTATTGATGATATCGAGCTGGGGTTTCACAAGTGTCCACTTCCCCCTGACCCTCCTAATTATCCATCTTTTATGGGTACCGAGGAGTTGTCAGGCTTGTTACAACAGGCTGGCTGGGCGATCCAAGCTTATGAAGAGGCAGAGACTTGGAAGAAAACTGCGGCCGGAAAATTAACAAGTCCAGACAACTATGAAAGATTCAGCGGAATGGCTAAACAGCAAGCATTGTGGTACATCTGGAAAGGAGATTTAGAAAAAGCTGCAGTTATGGTTCATTCCTGGCGTAGGCTTGAAGAGGACTGGAAGCAGGGTAAAACTCTTGATGCCAAAAATCCTGCTATTGATGTGATATTAAATATCACACACACTGACCTTTCAGCTGAATGTTTATTTGATGGGTACAGGAAGCCTGATGCCAGAATGATTCGTGACACAAAATGTGACATTTGTTTGAGTACCGATGTTGATGTGTATGATCAAGACAACCACTGGTTTAGGCCAAACAATGTGAGGACATGTGTAGATTATGATGGTAATGCTGAATTTGGTTCTGAGGAAGTGCGCAACAATATGGCAAAATTGCTCTTTGCTATTCTCAAGTTTGGCAGCAACCATGACTTTGAAACATCAGCCATGCATTGTTTCAAAGAAGCCCTTCATACATTTTTGGAGCATTCATTTGCTAACTTGTATTGGAGAATCAAGCCAACAAAAGCCATGAAGGAGGCTGTTGAAGCTGAGGCCCTTCCAGGCTTTGTTAAAGCACTATCTAATAAAGCACAAGCAGAACTAGTTCTCTCCACTTTTTCAAATTCCTGTGCAACGATCTTTAAGGTAGCTATCATGAAGCACTGCGCAAGTAAACTTGGAGAAGAGCAAATGAAGGGATTGTGTGATTTGTTTCGTTCAAGGCTTGACCTACTTGTTGGCGACGTCGATAAACTGAAAGAAGAGGAAGAAACAAGTGACAATTCAGTAGGTGCCGAAAGTGCTGAAACAGTTGGCATAGACCTTTTGTCAAAAACTTTGATTCCTTCCTTTGCTACTGAATTCCAGGGCAAATGGACTCTGCTCCCTGAAGCTAAGAGAGAAAGGATTTTGACAACAGAATCAAAGGCTCTAGTCAAGACCTGCAAGGGAACCTTTGCAAAGATCAGCAAGTTATATAGCCGTCAAAAGAAAAGCCTTGTAAACCAAGATGCAGAAGATACACCAGAGCAAGACAACCCCTCCACAGAGGACAACTGTAATGACAAGAAAAATGCAAAGGAGACTGACAACCAATCTGAGCCTTCCTCTGAGCCTAAAGAAAATGGGGGAAATGATGTCAATATTCCTGATGTTTGCCCTAAGGATTCTTGTCCTTGTAAAGATCCTAAGAAGTTTTACAAGCACTTTGTTGCTATTTTGGCTAGTGACAAGAACCCAGTGCCTTTCTATAAGTGTACTCCCACTGGTGATGTTATCATGAATGAAGAAATGTGTTTGGATAAAGATGGCAAAAATGTTGGACGCATGGTTGCTTTTGATTTTGACCATGTGAACACCACAATGAATTCAATTGAGAAAGAAAAATTTTCATCATGCCCACGTCTGGCCTTCATGTGCAAAAGGGTCTGCCACAATATCTATCCCATAATTATAATGAGCTTGTGCCAAGCATTTGTTGAGCTTCAAAAGAAGGACAGTTCAAAGGTGGAACTTTATACTTGCCCAGCATGCGGGAAGAAGGAGGCTAAAGCAGGAGAATTCAAGAGATGTGGTGGATGCAAAAGTGTTTACTACTGTGGCAGGAAGTGTCAGGTACAAGACTGGAAAGCTGGACACAAACAGAAATGTGACAAATCTTCAAAACAGGCGTCGTAACTCTAAAATTTACCAATTATTACAGGGTGCAATATACAACAAGTGGGTAATTTCTTTATGATATAGTTCATTTTAGTGCCTTTAACCTCAGTGCAGGGTATAAGACTTACATGTAGCTATGGGCCATTTTTACTGGTATTGTTTTTCTTAAGCCCTCATTTTACCTAGACCTTAAATAATGTCAATGCAACTGGGCAAATAATTTATATTCCAGTAGGGGAAAGATAGTATACCCTATGAGACATTCTTTTGCATATGAGAGGGAAGCCTCTTCCTGCAAATTTGTTTTTTCTATATTATATGTGAAAAATTTTGTGCCATAATGCATTTGAAAAAAATGTGGGATACCTCTAATTTCATTGGGCTGCAATTAGATCAAAACAAATACATCAAAGCATTTGGCCATTTTGTGAAAGATCTGCCAAAGTGAAATTGCATCTGTATTACATACGTTGTATTATTATTGTAAGTTTTAAACCAGTCAGAAACTGTAACAGACTGGTTAATTTTATGATTGTTGTGTTAAACCAGTGGGGGATAGAGCGAGTCAGCAAGCTGGAACAAAATTACTATCGTGAAACTCTTGTAATGAATGCCAGTGAATGTGGGGTAAAACAGTTACATACATGTACATCCATGGCTTTCTTGTAATATACTGTAAACGTTGCACTTGAATGCATTTTATAACCAGTTAGTTTTGATCATGGTACACTGCAACTAGTGGGTCATTCAGTGGGCTAATGGTTACGGCTTTAAACTTAAGTTTAAGAAGCTGTCTGGGTTCAAACACTTGGGCAAGACAATTAATTTTTACTTTTACACTGCCTCTTTCTCTGCCAAGGAGAACAAATGGGTACAGTTTAACTGTTAAATAGCCTGTTGTAATCCTTGGGGGATAACCTGATATGGACTAGCATCCCACCCAAGGTAGCAGCAATATTCTTAGCCACATGTTGCTGCAGTGAGCTAAGATACTGTGGGCTCCAGTCCTTTAATAAGAGCGTGGACTTCAGATTTGCCTTCATTACTACAGTGGAATCCAATTTTCAAACCTCGAGGGTAAACAAAATTGATTTGAAAAGTTAGGTAGTTCAAGAAAGCGGGGGCTAAATTACAGTGTTTGACTGAGTGGTGGGTACAACTTTTGGTTCCAGTAATCTGGAGGTTTGAAAACTCAAGAGTTGAGAAATTGGAA